CCCCCCCCCAGTGTATTTATTCCCTTTGCCTCGATAGAGTATGACCCGTTCTGGGAAGACGAGCTGATGCCTGAGCCTCCAAGATGGTTTCATAAATTTTTACATAGACCGATGCCCCCTTGGTTCCAGATGCCTGCACATGCCGATTCTCTTGAATTCATACCTAAAGGTCAGTTCACCAAAGCTGAGGTAGGAGAGGTGGGGGCGATGATGTGGGGGCATTGTGACAGTGGAGGGGGGAATATGTGTTCAGTTCATGGAATGGTTGGCAAAGCACAGCTGAGTCTCAGATGTGTATTTCCTTGTCGTGGGAGACGGTACTTCCCGGAGATTAGCATCCTATGTCCTTCAAGCCCATCCCAAAGCCCGGTCACTTGGCACGAATTGCAGAACTTACACATCACCACCAGGTGGCACCACAAGTAATGCTCCATTCACAAAACCCACCTCTTTTATGAATGACTTGGGGAACCAAGACTGGGCAGATCTTTTCCAGCCAGAGATGGTCATGCCTCCTGTTCCCCACAGGGCTGTCTTCATTTTCTGGCATACAGTGATTTTAACAACTCTCTTTTGCAATAAAAAGTCGGATGATTATACTAATGGTACTTTTACATTTCCATACCTTTTCCTTGTTTTAAATGCATCTTTAACATGCAATTATCTACATCATATCTTCACATCTATCTTGTGAGGTAGATGCATCAATTGAACATTGTGACACTACAGGACTTTTCTGCGTGCCAAGAGGGATCGTTTAACTGAGCATATCTTACACCCAAGGTTGTGGGATGGAAGAGACCAGGCAAGCACACAACTACAGCATAAAGCAGAGTGGGGATGGAACTGCAAACAGGCCTTTTCCCAGGATCAGAGGAGAGCAAGCTCTTCTGCCTGGAAAGTCAGGGAAGGCTTCCTGGAGGAAATGACATTTGAAGCAAATATACATAGAAGGTACTAGGTGGAGAGGCCATGCTAAGAAGGCATTTCAGGCCATGAGGACTGCAATAGAGGGAGTCTAGGCGAAAGGAGAGTGTGTTCAAGAAAGAGAGGGTGACCCCATCCTACTGGTGACTAGAATGTATATATGGAAGGTCACTCTTTTCCGCCATCTCCTGCAGCTACCCCACCAGCTCAAAGGACTGAGGCTCCTCCAGCAACCCACCCCTCCCCCACCACCCAAATCTCTCACCACCTTCGAGTTTCCAGAGCATCTTCAGTAGCAGTTACCAAGCCCCCAACCTTCCTGCCATCTACCACCACAACCTCAAAGACCTCAACTCCGGGGGTGCTTCGTAGGCTCCAGACGGCCAGCTACAACTACCACAGCAGGCTTCACAGGCAGAGGTAAGAGGTCTCCACCATCCAGGATGGGCTAGAGGTCAGGCAAAGTAGTCTAAAGTTAGGAGATCCATTGAAATCTTCCTGCAGTGTCCACCAACAGAGACCCTTCTTGTGTCTAGGCTACCTATGAGTGTAGCGCATTAACTTATTAGTCCAATAACAAGAACGCACTTGTCAATGCCCCAGCAGGACACCCTGTAGAAATGAGACCCAAATCTTTTAGTCATTCAGCGTTCATTCAAATCTATTTTGATGGGGAACTAAATAAGAATAAAATTAGCAATAAAACTGCTAACTACTAAATTCAGCTTCACTGTTTTACTTTTTCAGTGTGGCTTCTAGAATATTTAAAATTACATATGTGACCACATTGTATTTCTATAGGACAGCGCGGGTCTAAAGCCTGGGGAGCACCTAGGAAAGTGCGACAATGGACCACTAGGGGGCAGCATTAGAGCAGACGCCAAAGAAAACCTATAATAACTGGAATTATTTTGCCTAACCAAAGACAAACATGTTAGTGAGAAAAGGGACCTCGAGCATCATTTGGGCTTTACAGATGAGGCAACTGAAGTCATGAGAACGTTGTGGTTTCAAATAGAACCAGGACTCCTGATTCCTGGCTCAGTAAACTACACCAGCCTACCAGTGGAGAATTCAAGTCAATTCAACCAACATTCTCTTACTTTCTACCATGTGTTGGGCATTGAAAATGTAAGAAAGATGAAAACATGCAATATCCAGGTCTTATCTTACTAACTAATACAAGTCTGACTGTGAAAAGGGTTGTAACCAGTATAAACACAAGAATTGAGGACAGACAGAAAAAGTTGACTCTAGTTTGCCATGACTGGAGAAGAAAAGAGAACTTATGTGCTGACCCTTTAAGGAAAGTAAGGTTTCAATTTGTAGAGGAAACGGAGGAAAGATCTTATAAGCAAGAGGGAGCATTATGAGAACAGTGTTTCTTCCACTTACAAGAAATTTAACTCGTTTAGTATTTGCAATAATCTTGTGAGGAAACAGAGGTGCAAAAGCTTAGAAGGGAACTGACATTTACTAACTGCTGCTTAGACCAGGTGTTCTAACTTCTTTATATCTACAATTTTGTTTCAGCCTTAAACACTTCTGTGAAATAGGCTTTACTGTACCCATTTCCCAGGAAATGGGAGGCTCAGAGAGGTTGGGAGACTGGTTCAAGATCACACAGCCAGTGGAAAGCTGAACCTGAATTTGAATCCAAATTTCTTGAGTCCATAGACAAGACTCTTTGGGGCAGATGGCGGGGCAGGGGGAGGGGGGTGTTAAAAAAAAAAGGGACAAACCTGTGAGACATCTCCCCAAAAGTTGGCTACTGAGGAGCACTGCCTTAAACCTCTCTCCCTCCCAGACTCCCAGACCTCTACTGTCTCTCTCCCTCTCCTTCCTTCCTCAGAGCCTTCCACCAAGGCCCGGTGTCTGGGATGGAAGACCAAGGATTTCACATCCTGGTGCCCACCGCCCTGAGCCTCATCCTGCTGGCGCTTGTTGGACTGTTGGTGAAAAGGGCCATTCAAAGGAGGAAAGGTGAGCGGCTCGGGGCTCGGTTAGGGCGAGGTGAGCTTCCCGAAGGGCCCTGAGCTTCAGATTCCGCTGGAACCCCACCCCCTACGCGCCCCCTTC